TGATGCATCTAGGGATGGACACTACCAGACTTGCTTCGGATGCTGGATCTGACCTATATTTTTATTCATTAACTATTCAGCAACCAAACTTATATGGATGATGTTATGATGGAAACAAACTGTATTTGCCTTTTTTATATATTTTCTTGTCTATTTTTTGCCTAACTAACTATCAAGTCATTAATTTTGAACCAATATTGCATAATAAAAATGCATCTATAGATGGACAAAATACCTTACTTGCTTCATGCTGGATCTGACCTATATTTTCATTCCCTAAGTATTTATAAGCCCTACCTGAACCAAACTTACATGGAAAAAAAGCATTAAAAAAAATCGATGGACACTACCAGACTTGCTTCTTTATGCTGGATCTGACTATATTTTCCAAACAAGCAATTCAGCTGCATCACTATTCTGGATATTCTGATCAAATTTTAATCAAAGTAATTTTCAAAGTTGCTTTACTGATATATCCTCGGCGGGGCATATATTTTGGACATATTTCTACTTTTATTTGGATGGACTTGAATGCCTTCCTTTGAAATAAATATAAAAAGAAATATACTTAAACAAGTCAGAGGAGAGAGAGAGAGAGAGTAAAATAAGAAAAACTAAATACAAAAAAATCTCATTACTTACCATCAAGTTCAAGATAGTGATAAACAGATAATACTCTTTGTTATTCATGATAGAACTGATTTTACGTTGATTTTGCTATAATTCTGTAGCGGAATACAGATTGCATACCTGCTGCGTATTTATATCATTTCTGGAAAAGATTTGTTCAAATAATATTTTTGCGACCTGTTTGCTTTCTTGATTTTGCATTTTGAGTTATAAATGCAGCTTTATGTTTCGTTTCCGGGTCCATGTGTAATTGCCAATACCCAGAATGCAGATCAAAGGTTGAGAAAATTTGAGATTCTGCCTCTGCTACGGTGTCAAAGACACATTCAAGTCTGGGTAAAGGAAATGACAAAGGTTTTGTGATTTTATTCAATTTGTGATAGTCTACACAGAATCTGTATTTACCATCTTTTTTCTTTACTAGAACCACCGGTAAATGATATTCGCTATTTGACTCTTCTAAAATATCATTTTCCAAAAGCTCTTGAACTTGCCTGTCAATTTCTTTCTATAAATGAGGAAATGAGGGGGTTGCCGATAAAAAGGCATGCGAGTGGGGGAGCATCATATGTTTCTATTTTGTGAGAAAATCTTCCAAATGTTTTACCCAATTCTGTTAAACCGAGTGCAAAAACGTTCCTGTAATTTTTTTTAAAAACATCTGCAATTCCGATTTTTGAGTATCATTTAATTCAGAATTTGTCAAATCAAAGGTGATAGGAGATTTATGTTTATTTTTTCGTTTTAACTCGACATTTGTTGCATTGATTTGAGTACTTTCAGAAGATTTAAATGGTATTATTTCATAAATGGAGACACATTCCACTGTGGCAACAATTGTATTATTACCAAGTGTTATTTCGTCCGCCGTTGGATTGCAAACCTTAAACATACCGCGTTGATTTTGAACACGCGCGATTGTTTTTGCTGCAAGTAAATGTTAAGTGGCAAGGTTTTCACAAGGTTTTGAATACACAATTTGATGCTGTTGTAATTTAGAAATTTTGACTGGGATGATCAATTCACGCTTTGGAGGAACAATAATTTTCTGAGCAGTTCTGGCAAAATGACCTTTTATTTCTATTGGAATAGAATTGTTTGAGTCAGCGATTTGAATTGTTTTAGATTTTAAATGCAGAGACACAGTATGCTTTTCCATGAAATCAACACCAATGATAACTGTTTGATTCAAGCCTTTTACCACATGAACTGGGTTCCAAAATATTTTGTGGTTAATTTCAAAAGGAAGAATGATTTTGCCAAGAATTGGAAGAGTATTAATGCTAACACCTTTAATGACATCATAGTCTGGCTTCAAAAGTTTATGGTCATTTAACTCTGTTGATTTAAAGAAAGAATGGCTGATGAGAGTGATTTGTGACCCCGTATCAACCAATGATTTAGTTTTACTAAGCCCAATCCCAATTTCAATCGTATTCCGAGATTGTTAAGCCACCGTTAAACCCAAGGTCACAGTCTTGTTACCTTTGTGCCCATCCTTGGAAAATCCAGGGATATTCGCGCACCCCTATTGTGGAATGTTAGCGCGCATTGCAGACCTACAAACACTTGCAAAATGATTTAATTTTTTGCATTTTAAACATTGTTTGCCAAACGCGCGGCATTGCTGTCGAGACTGGCATTTACCTCCACAACCTTGACATTTTACATTTGTAATACAATAATAATTTTGATTAAAATTTGGGCGAAAATTTCTTTGATTGTTCTGGTAAAATCGTTTCTGAAAAGGCTGAGTTTCAAAATTTGAAGTCTTGGGATTGGCAATTGCTGCTGCAGTAGCTTCCAGTTTTTCAGAAAATGTTGACATTAACCTGTCTTCTAATTGTTGGATGGAAGCTGCAAGCGAAACGTTTGCAGTTTCCGTGGATTTAATAGTCTGCTCCGCCACAAGAGCAAGTTTTCTAACCTTTTCTAATGTTTCTGGACTCTGAGGCATTACAATTTTCCTCAGGTCGGATTTCAACCCTTGAATAGTAATCCCAACAAGTAAGTGAATTGGGAGTTCGTATTCAGTGGTTAAACGCGTTACACGGGCCATGTAGTCATCGACCGTTTCTTCTTTATATTGTTTTAAGTTTAGTAGGTTGATATCAAAAGTTGATTTTTGTTTTTGAAATCTTTCAAAGAAAGCTGCTTACAAACTTTCCAAAAAGGATTTAACCGAGGCACTTAGTTCAAAGTACCATTGTCTGGGAATGTCTCCCAGATAAAACGGAAAAGCCGACAACGCCGCCGATTCAGACATATTAAAATATGACACCATGGCCATAAAGAGTGACCACCACTGGTTGGCCGGTTCAGCCTGATGGTATTGAGAAGGTTTATGACATTCGGAGCATGTCTATGCTCCTGTGGCGTCGCAGGATGAGACAATGTATATGCAGGAAGAGAAGATTGATTGATTGATTGTATATTGTTTTACGTCCCTCTCGAGAATTTTTCACTCATATGGAGACGTCACCGTATGCCGGTGAAGGGCTTCAAATTTTGACCTTTACTCGGCACTCAGAGCCATTGAGCAGTGAGGGATCTCTATTGTGCCAGCGCCTGACGCTGACACGGGGCTTCGGTTTTTAAGGTCAATGTTTCACTTCAAAGTGCCGAGCGCATGGCGAAGGAACAGTTGCTACCCATTTTAACGACTAGGTCGGTCGCGGCCGAGATGCGAACTCACGACCTCCCGATCACGAAGCGAGCGCTCAACCGACTGAGCTACCGTGAACGGTAGGAAGAGAAGACGATACATTGACAGTTGGAGAAGATGAAGCAATTAAAGAAGATGAAGTTATTGAAGAAGATGTAGTAATTGGATAATTATTTGTAATTGCCGGATGGTCCGGAGTCCTCTCTGGTGGGTGTGTAGACCGCGGTCCTGCCGATGAGGGATTTGTTAGGTTGCTAAGAATACGTCTGACCCTGCCAAGGGCCTCCAGATTGGGCGGACCTGTCGGTGTTACCCTATTAGAACTTGTTGGGGCCGATGCTCCTCCTGTAGGTTGCATTTCCTGAAAATTTGTTTGGCGTCCACTACGCAAATCCATTATCGGAATCGAGAAAAGAATTCTCCACCAGATTATTATAAGTAAAATTGGTTATGTTTTATTTTTTTGTGAGCTTGGCTCTCGCTTGGCTAGTGAGGGCTGGATATATATAACCTGACTTCAGCCTCTGTAAATGCTGGCCTTAAAAGAAGACAAGTTGTATAAAGGTTAAGATATTTTATTAACAAGAAACCGCAACTCAATATAATAAAAATCAAAATAATAATTTAACAAAACATTCTGAAAATAAAAACATTAATAAGTAACAATTATGAACATTTAAACTTTTTCTCTTTTGTACAAAATTCTGTTTCACAGTACTTTAACAAAGCAGTTTCAAGTAAACAAATTTTAGAATTACATAGATTTTAAAATAATGAATATACTTAGATAGATATTCATACAGTTAAAACATACGTACCTTAAAAGAAGAAAAGTTGTATAAAGGTTAAGATATTTTATTAACAAGAAACCGCAACTGAGGTTGTCAGGGCCCGCACGGCCGTTTTATATCCCAGAACCGGTTTCAATGGCATTTTCACAACTTGTCGACCTTTTTGGTACTTATGCGATGATAATTCATTCGGACCACACGCGACCATTGTTTTATGAGTAAATTGATTAAAATCTTATTTTCTGACATATCTAAGTCTTTATGCCTTGACCGGCTATATTCATTTGATACGAAATATCTTATATGTCCGAATGAATGAATGTGTTTATGGTTACCGTGCTTGATGTATGTGTTACAGTTTATAAACAAAAAGAATACATGTCCATGTTGACCCTCTTTACAATTGAATTAACTACTCTACAACCTAACTTTGCACTTAAACCACAAACACATACATGTAGTACAAAATAATGATAAAAATAGAAATAATCAGTAATATTTATGATCAAGGTAAATGAATAAAAATAATATGAAAAATGCTATATTATAAGTGTAAAAGAAATCTCATGTCATTCATTCATCTATAAAAAAAATACATAAAGTAATTAATAAATCAATTAAACATGATCGATGTTTAGATGTATATTGGTAGAAACGCATCAATGCAGTATTAAACTATCTAATTGACACAGCTTAACATACCGCAAAAGAAATAATAATGATCAAAACAAACATATTTACATTAGTTTTATTACTTATTTATTTCACAAAAGAAATTCGACATCACTTCAATGTATCTTTATCGTTGAATATAAGAAATCAAGAAAACAATAACTATAAAGGCGAAATTTTTAGAAACACCCCGTACTTTCCCTTTAGGAGCCTCAATTTCATTTCGCGGGTAAACAATAAAAATGGCGTGGGTTTGGATGTTTACATTTCTTGCAGTTCTCTTTTTGCATAACAAAATTGATGGTAATTAATGCTTCCAACAGTATGGATTGGTAAGCTGTGAGGTACACGAATACACGATCTGTAAAAGGAATGGTTTTTAGTTGAGAAGTTTACCTTGAGTCGAAACCAGGTCCCAAACTTACTAGTACAAAGTATAAGAATCGAAAAATCGCCAGAGATATCCTGTGCAGACTTTAAAGATTGGGTATTAGATCTGAACATCACAATCACCGTAAACAGGAACATATGTACAACTTTCTCGTTAAGTAATTATCTTTTTAAAAAAAAGAAAGAAAATAAAAACGAACGAAGAAAAGCGACATAACTCTTGACACCCCATCCCCGCATGATTTTTTTTTAATTATTATAATTATTACTATTAAGAAGCAAGTACATTTTTGTTCATGTTTATATTAATATTTTTTAATATTAAATATTATTATTAGAACGCAACTACTTTGTCTTGGTCCACCAAGAAAGCTTGTAAGAGACCCAATATCAGGAAAAACAGGACAACTGTGACAAGTTAACCACTTCGACTGGTGCAACTGAGAATGGGACAGAATATATTATGACCAGATCCACCACCATGATGTATTGAAACTAAAAAAATATGTGTAATTTTATTTTCTCTTAACAATAAAAAAACACCACTTTGAAAAAAAATGTTGTAAGGTCTACAGAAATTCTGTTCATAAACCTCAGCCTAATGCCAGTTACAATTAATCACGGCGGGTGTGACCGGTCGGCAGGGGATGCTCACTCCTCCATGGCACCTGATCCCACCTCTGATGTTTCGGAGGTCCGTGTTTGCTCTGCTCTTATTTTGTATATTTGTTTAATGGACGTTGAGATTGAGTACTGTTCCTTATTTCCATATCCTTCTCTAACCCTTTACTTTGAAATAAAGGAAAACACTGAGCTTAAATATTATTGAAATTTAATACTTTTTAAAAAAAAATTATTTAGATGTTATGGGCACGATAATCGGCATTCTCATTCTCGGCCTGACATTGGGTGCTTTTTTTACCGGCTTTGGTGTGTTTCTGTGTCTAGACAGAATTTGGAGGAGGGAAATGTGGATGAAGTGTTGTTGAAGAAGAGTGGGAAGACAACATACAAGATCAGTTGAAACCCTTGCATTAAGAAACCTCTCTACCACAAAATCCACTACTTCCTCAGAAGTGAAGTGCTTCCAGACACGACTCACCGTCACCATCATCACTCAGAATAAACGCATAAACAGGAAGTACTGTACATCTTTTTCTCAGGTAAAATTGAAATCAGCAACGCAAAGTTTAATCACATGTGCGTAAGGAAAAAAATCTTTTAGAACCTAATAAAGAATTTTTTTATTAACAAAACAAATATTTAGAATGATGTTATACCAGTAAATAATATATTTTTATAAATGTGAGGTTATCTATATTCATGGGTTAATATTTTATGTGGAATTTCAACTAATAGTTATTGTACCTATTTTTTTTTTACTGCTGTAATTTTCTTTTTAAAAAATGTTTAAGGAAAAAAAAATCATTACGCTATTGATAAATTTATAACCTCTTTTTTTTCTTCTTCAATATTTAGCTGTCTGATAATAAGAACATTTTTTTGTTTGTAAAATTGAAATTATTTACCAACAGAAAGTACACCACATGTACATATTGGTTTTTTTTTCGTTTCGTTTTTCGATTACATCTTGTCTCAATATTTGTGCAATTTTTTGGTTTAGAAATTATGGGATATATCTCTGAATTTTTTTTTCTGTGTGACTATTGGTTGTGACTCTCGGTAAAAAAATTATTTGTTTTGTTTATTTTTCGATAGTTACTAATGTTTTTTTTAGTGTTGGCAACGAGTACCCGGTTAACCGTCGAACGATGCGAGTATCGGTTAGTAAAACTGCTACCCGGTTACTGGCATGAAAAAAAACTTAGTAAATGCATTTAAAATGACTGTTTTCTAGTTTATAAATATACACATTTCCCTAATTTTAGATACCGTTAGACTTGATCTAATACATGGTTGTAGTGGATCAAATTGTTTTGATTAGTTTTCACAGTTTTCACAGTTTATATAATTAATAGCTTTGATTGCTTGGGGTATGCTTTTGAAGGCCTGAGTTATGATAACCTCGTTTGATAATTTAACTTAACGAGGTGCCACCTCAAACAAATTAAGCTTGGGGTGTAACTGTAAGAAAGAACAGTTGATTCATAATCTCAACAAATTAACTTATAATTACGGAGTATTTAGATGATTATTATTCTCCATGATAGCGACATATGGAAAATATAGCTGAAATGGAAAATATAAGGAAAGCTATTGTGAGACGGCGATTGACGATGTCATTTTTTTTTTGTGTTCTTCGTGTGTCAAATTTCTTATTTTCTTTAATCTAAAATCAAAATTCGTTCACAATATAACATGTGTGTATTGTAAATACAATGTCTATATACATAGTATATTTGTGTATTACTACTACCGACAAGTAAAGTATAAGATGAATAAAAGATGTGGATACTTTACGAAAAATCATCGGGTACTCGATCGGAAGACGAAGCGAGTAAGCGGTTACTAAAAATCGTCCGATTTGCCAACACTAGTTTTTTTCTTTATGTTTTTATTTTTGACAGAATAAAAAAAAATGTAAATATTTCATTATACTTTTTCTTTTCTATATTGCATTCTTAGAAAGAAAAAGAAAACAAAAATTATTAAATCTTTATTGATAAAATTATATAAAATTTACATGCATATTTTAAATGACAGTCAACATAATTCATTGTTATACCTTTAGAAATTTGTCCCTATACAATTCTATACAAAAAAAGTATAACATTTTTAATGTTTTGCTGAGCGGGCATAAAAAAATCGATGTTGGACCGCTGAGTGAGATGTTGGACCGCTCGGAGAGATGTTGGACCGCTTACGTCACAGAGTGGGCGGAGCTTAATCTCATTTTCATTCGCTGGTGTTAAACAGTGATAGATCTGATGTTACATCACGGAATTAAGTACAAAATACATGTAAATATAGAAAAAATAAAATAAAAAATAAAATGAAAGGTATAACAAAACATTTATTGACAGAGTTCGAGGGCAAAATGCGTTTTGTCGAACCCTCGAACCAAACTGTCTGCCGTCGGCCTAACGGCCTCAGGCAGACAGTTTGGTTCTTGGCTCCGACAAAACGCATGTTGCCCTCGAACTCAGTCAATAAATGTATATTTATATTTTCTTTAAATAATTTTTATAAATCCATTATAAATTTAAGAAACATAAAATTTTAAGAGAATAAGTAACAATTTCTAGTCTTTCATTTTCAAGACTCGAAAGGTGCTGATGGTTTGCACTGTTCGCACACTGCCTTCTCATTGTGCGTGTATTGACATGGTATTATAGATTCTAGATCAGGAATGTCCTCATTGATATCTGGAAGTATTTTTATTAGGGTCTCCAACTCCGTCAAAGTAAAGTCAACACCATTATTCTTAGGTTTCAAGAAGTCATTGTCATTTTTGAAGATTTTCTACAATCCACACACACGATCCCAGTTTTTACGGAAAGAAACAAATCTTTCCCTAGGTGCAACTTGTAATCACCATTTCGTCCTCGAATCAGGTATTGCCTTATGGCTTGTAGGATTTTTTCATCATGGTCGCAAAAATATTTCCACTTTTTTACATCCATGCTTACACATTCGTTAAGGGATTCTTCCACTTCCAGTTCTACGAGAATATCATCTCCATACTCTAAAACGGAGAGTTTCTTCTCTCCTATCATGTAGTCCGCTATCATATTCTTTTGCGGTAGATTGAAGGCCGATTTCTAAAATAAATAATTTCATATTGTATTAATTACATGTCCCATAACATCATAGCATTCATTAACAAAAATGAAAACAAAAATGAAATGATAGCTTACTATTTATTCGTCTGCAGCGTTAGAGAGTGCTAATGATTGGTAAAGAATGTATGAATTTTTGTGAGTGTTTACTCCTTATAAAGAACCGAAATACAATAAAAATCAATTTAGCTCCGTTATTAGCAGACTTATTTTTATATTCATATGAAGCAGATTTTATGCAAAATCTTTTACGTGAAAAGAAGAAAACACTTGCTGTGGCCTTCAACTCGACATTTAGATATATCGACGACGTATTGTCTATTAATAATGATAATTTCCATTCCTACGTCTACACGATATATCCTGGTGAGCTTGAAATTAAAGATACCACAGAGTCCGACACTTCTGCTTCATACTTGGATATTTTACTTGAAAAAGACACTAATGGTAATCTAACAACCAAGCTATATGATAAACGTCATGACTTTCACTTTTCTATCGTCACTCCTCCATGGCACCTGATCCCACCTCTGATGTTTCGGGGGTCCGTGTTTGCTCTTATTTTGTATATTTGTTTAATGGACGTTGAGATTGAATACTGTTCGTTATTTCCATATCCTTCTTTAGTGGTGTCAATAAAATATTGATATTTCCATAATTTCTGTGATAATTATCAACACTAAATTATTTCTTTCTATATATCTCTTAAGAATTTAAAAGTGACTGTGGTTGTAATAAACTTACAACTACATGAGTGTAAATATTTAGTATCGCTTTATGAGGTACACGGATTTTTCGTTTCTATGTAAACGTGTGGACAAAAAATTAATTTTACGTTCACCACAATATTACCATTTTCATATTGTTCCTCCCACACTACTACATTTATATTAAAGCATTTAATAACAACCACTCAACCACAATACCATTTTATAATAACCACATTCAACCGCTTGTTGTTACATTATTTGCCATAGGCACAAAATATGCATGTTTTTCTATGTAATAGTTCGACAATGCTAATAGTTCTGCAAAATTATGCATAAGTCATCATACTTACATTGTTGAAATAGAATGTCTTTTTAAAAAAAGAGATAATTTATTTAGAACATAGAATTACATAAATTGTGTGTTTAGGTATACTTTTGAAGTGTAAGAATTCAAAATTATACACATGTGCATTTAATCAGCATATCTTGGTTACATCTGAAGAAGTTCATTGGTATAAAAGTCTGAGATTAATTTCCCATTCCATTCATACACCATTGCATTCTTACTCATACAATGTCAGCATTGATATAGTAGATGACATTAATGTTGTCATAACAATGAATGGAGAATGTAAATACTACAAGACGGTCCAGCGCGAGGAACCAACAATCATTGTGGATGAGGACGAGTCTGAGGAGATGGGCGTCAAGATTGAAACAATGGTGTTAATGGAAGAAATCAACAGTGGTAAGAACATGATTTATTTACTTATGCTGAATATTTTAGCTACTATCTTACTTGAAGTAGTTCTCAAATAGTTTCATTGTTCTTTTTCATTTTTTTTCAACATTATATTTCTTAACATATAACACACTTGAAATTTATTAAATGTAAATACCATTTCAGAACTGGATGAATCTACATGTAACTCAGATGTTGAAGACATCGATGACGATGATGTCATCGTGGAGGAGGAGGAATGGTCTACCACTGCTGCTTCAGCCTGATAACAAAAATTAAAAAAATGAAAAAAATATGAATTTATTCGTGCGACATTTGTTATGTTTAAAAAATTATGTTTGTATTATCATATGTCGAAACCACAAGAGCTCCGATTAGGAAAATAAACATATCTATTTATCTTTGTATTAAAAAATAAAAGTAATTAATATTTTGTAATCCATGAATTTTGCTTTAATTATGCTTTTTTCATTACTTTTATTTTTTTTTTAAATTCGTTTTAATTTTTTTTTTAGCTTTATCTTTCTGATATCCATTATGACATCATACTCTGTATGTACATTTTTCATGTTTAATACTAGATCAGAACAACGGACGGTAAATTTTATATGTCAAAATGCAGGCGAAAAGATGGCGTACCTTCTTGCATTGCTTTGTTGACACATATATTTTTACATGTTCTGGTGTATCGATATTTTCACATTCGGCATCATTATCTTGAATTTCGATAATTCGAAGATCATGGGATTTCAACACATGAAGGTAACTTGGTTTGAAAAAAATGTGGAAAACCAATGTGATGTATTCAATGTTGGTTCCGACAAAATCAACCGCTCCTCTCCAATTACACGCAACCAAGCCACTTGTAGACGGGAAGCATTG